AGAGGTAAGATAATAAAGAGGCAAGGTAATAAGGGGTAGAGCTATAAGGGAGCAAGATAATAAGGTATAGGACTATAAGGAATAAGGCTATAATAGGAAAGGCTATAACGAGGTAAAGCTATAAAGAGATAACGCTATAAAGCAGTAAGGTAATAAGAGGATAAGGCAACAATGGGATAAGGCTATAAGAGGAAATGCTGTAAGCGTGTAAGGCTATAAGGACGTAAGGCTATAAGAAAATAATGCTTTAGGAGAGAACGGCAATAAGAGAGTAAGACTATTATAGGGTAAGGCTATAAGGAAGTAAGGCAATAAGGAGGTAAGGCTATAAGGAAGGAATGCTATAAGGCGGAGACGTTCTAAGGGGCTTGGGCAACAAATGGTAAGGCTAAAAGAGCTACAACGAATATAAGGCTGTAAGCCCGCAAGACTACATGGGCTATTAGCGATATAAGAATATTACGCTGTAGGGCTTCTATATACATAATGTTAAGTGTTTATGTGTCTGTTACCGAATGAAAGATTAAAGTTTTGAAGTCGTACGTTAAAGAAAAAAATACTGCCGTGCAGTATGCACGAGTTCTCATTAGTCTTCTAATAATGCTGGTAAAAAATATTGCTATAATGCTTCTCTATAAATGCAAAATGATTATGTGAATACATGTTTCTATTAGTTTACTTTTGTCTATCAGTCAATGGTCTCTATACAATTTTAGCTTCTTTATGACATTTAATTCAAATTTCCTAACAGGTCAATCACTTTATATGGTACATCTTATTAATCTTCAAGTTCACCATCAAGACATTCAAATACTTGATATATACCACTATCAGCTGCTTTATATGTTGGTATAAATGGTGGACTAATAGATGAAAAATCGATTATTTATATTCATTTTATTCATACAAGAATATAATAAAAACGACAGAATGGATATAAAATATTCGATGTGACGACTTTAATAAATTTTATGAAACGAACGAGCTGATTCAGTGATGCATAAAATGCATCGAATCTTGACATTTCAAAATATAATTATGAAGAGTTTTACTTGATATAATTTTTACGAATTTAAACATTAGTTAGATTAATACTCTTCTTCATTACGTTTAAAGTATATCAAAGAATTCTTTCATGTGATTAAAAAAATCAAAAAAACAATGGTAGAGGAGTTAATAAATCATCGGATATGTCTTTTAACATAATAAATGATCTTTTTTTTTTCATTTCACTCGAATATAATACAAGTTTGAATTAAGACTACATATTCATCTTTTTATTAAATTATCTATCAAACGAGAAGAATTAAGTTAAAATGTTGAATACTGAATTGTACTACAAAATTATGTGTTCATTACTCCTTCTTCATGCTTATCATTACAGCCAAGTATTTCTAATCCAATGTATAAATCTATTGAATTGTTTAGATATTTATCTACATAAGAAAGAAGTATTTTAGTTTGAAAAAAGAATCTTGATTGATTATAAGAAGCAAGTCTAATTTTTTTGACAACTTACAAAGGAACCACTCTCCACATTTTCTTATTTCGATTTCAATGATTTTTTTTTCTTTATCTATAGATATTACATAGTATTCTAGTAAATACCCTAAAAATATTTGAGTTCCCATTTACACTTAACAGAGCTATGAAGTTTTAATATGTCTATTCTCCAGAGACTCTTGTAGAAGAGCCTGAAGTTTTTCGGAAAAATTGTATTTTTGAATTTTGTCTTGAAATTATCTCTATCTGAAAGTCTCATAGAGTAACTTGTATGAAGAGTTTCCTAGTTTGTAGATTTCATATCTCTGAGCTATAAGCTTTTCAAAAATAGCCCTTTTTTGTTTTTTGAAGCGTAGTAAATAATACAAGAATATTTTGAAAAGAGACCTTTATTTGGAAATTGTATCAAGATAAAATTCAAAATCATAATTTTTCGGAGAAAACTTTGCCTTTTTCTACAGAGGTCTCTAATATATGAAAAATGCACTAGCTCCAGTAAATCTCAATAGGAACATCAAATATTTTTAGGATTTTCACTAGAATACTATGTAGCATCTATAGGCAAAAACAAATCATTGAAATCGACACATCTAAGAAGATTTATTCGATAATGAAAATAAAATCAAATTTTGTTTCTCTTACATTTTTATATAATTCATCCTTATAAACTCTAATTGAATAAATTTGAATAGGAAGATTTCGATATTTTAAATGATAAATAAGTGTCATTAAATCAACGTTATGGTATATTTTTTGATGGTGATATACTTATAAATGTACTATTCATTGTACTAAAACGAACTAATAAACCATAGAGGTAATTTATCATGTCTAGTTTTGATATTTGACCCTTTTAAAATAAAAACAAATATTTAAGAAAAATAAAAAAGAAGTTCTACAAAGAAAATTTAACTAACATGTTCAACTTTAATTTCAATTGCTGAAAATAGATTTCGAAGATATTTAACAAATTAACCATCTTCACTACTTTTAATTGTATTTATACTTTGTGTATCATTACCTTTTATTATAATTCTTTAAATAAAAAAAAAAAAAAATAAAATAAAATTTAATTGAAATAATAAATGTTTTTTTCTTTTCTTTTTTTTTGCCTATTTATTGATCCTCTTTGTAAATCATCAGTTAAATTATTATTATTATTATCATGATCTGATAATATACTTCAACATATAGGACTAAAAAATTATATAATCAAGATGATGTAATATCATTTTTAAACGTATAATTGGTTTTTAGTTTTGTTTTTGATCAATAATGATAAACTAGACAATCGTCTTTAACAAAAATAAAAATAACTTCCTATTGTATAATGTAAATTTCTAACTATAGTTACATCAGATATAAATGAAATTGAAAATGAATCAAATTTTATTTTCATTGAATCTTGAAAAAAAAAATCTTCTTAATATATATGATAATATAATATCTTGAATACATGAATAATATTATACAGGATAAAGTATCCATATTATTGTTAATAAATAAACAATAATACGTAAAGAAATTTGTTCACGATGAGTTTCCAAATAATTAGAAATTTCATTTAATATTACTTCTAATGTTGATAGTATTGTTGAATTTAAAATAGGATAAGATAAATTAAATGATTCATTTAAATTAATTGGCAATGTTAAGTGTGAAGTTCTTTTTCCATTACTTCTTAATCTCTATGATTTAAATCAAATTTAATAATATATTTAACATATGGATTTCTACATTGGAAATATTCTAATAAATGAAAGACTTGACTTTATTTTGATAATAAAAAAAATAAACCAAAACGAAATAAATTAATCACACTAGGATTTTTAATAGAAATCTAAGGTAAAGTGCATATAGATACATCATTTCTATTGATAAAATATCTACTGGTACTTTGTTTGAAATAACAAAGTACTTCAAAGTATCACAACGAAAAACTTATTCAAGAAAAATAAAGATAAGTTTATTATTATTTGTATCTTTTAATGAAGAATGTTCTTTTCCAAAAAAGCAAAATAAAAAAAAAAAAATTCTTAGCTTTATCTGCAAGTAAAGCACATAAACAAAAGAAAGACGAGCGACTTTTGAATAATGACGTAATAAATAGACAAAGTGCTTTTGTTATCTTACAAAGTATCTTCAAGGTATTCTGTTTTTTTTCCTTAAAGTACAAAACACAGTGCTTTTCTATAATTGTAAGTATCTTGAGTACTTTGCTTTTGCTTGAGATACTCTTAACATTAAAAAGACTGTTTTGCATACATGTTAAGACATCGTAATAGTCATAGCTCAAAATACTACAGTCAGATCGGATCATCGATAAGAGTACTTGAATAATCTCTATTCTTCCTAAAAATTGGGAACAAAAATTGGAAAAAATCGCAATTTCTTATGAAAATCGACAAAAAAATCGGCAAAAATCGATAAGTTAGGCGCTAAATCGCGATATAATCTCACGTTTAATGAGCCTAACAAAATTACAATAAAATCGCCTATTTTTGCCCGATTTTGATGACATAGATAGGTAACTATGAGGATATTTAAATGAGTATGCAGATATTTCAATAGATATGAAGATTTGTGTTAAATAGAAGAATGTTTAATTAAATAGTATCTATTTTGAGAAACTATGAATGTAAAGAAATACAAAATGTTGAAATATTTATAGATTTATTTTCTGACTTCTATATATTGAAGAAAAATGAAAAAAAAAATTAATATAACCAATTTTATTTATTCTATCAGAAAAAATTACATATCCAAAAGAATAAGAAAATACAAGAGAAATAAAAAAAAAATTAACTAATTAATTGTTTTTATCTACGAGTGTGGACATCCATGAATCACCAGGAGTTCGTTGTAATACAAGATTTTGATTTAGTGTACGATGAACATTTGTTTCAGCATTTGTTCCAGCATTTGTTCCAGCATTTGTTTCAGCATTTGTTCCAGCATTTGTTTCAGCAGTTGTTTCAGCATTTATTTCAGCAGTTGTTTCAGCATTTGTTTCAGCAGAATCAGGTAAATTCGGATTCGTTTTTAATTGTTTATTCAAATTTCTATTTTAAGATAACAAATTCATTCAATTCTATGTCAATCATAAAACTTTCAAAAATAACTTTCACATATTTATATCTAATTGGATCTTTTTGTATAGTACAGTTAAAAAAAACATTCCATAAAATCGATTTTTCTTAATATAAGACTCGACTAAACTACAAAACGAGGATTATATTCCAAAATATTGAACGAAGTTATTCAATTAATCATATGCTTAGTCAGTTAGGTAAATCAAAGTGTATCTACTATGTCGTTTTGTTTTTTTTTGATCTTTCAAAACAGAATCAAAATAATATCCTAGCACTGCTTTTTCTTGTATCTCCAACTTTTGTATATGATCTATGCATTCATATCTCAATAATCCATATGATAAAATTAATGTCAATATCAAGTTCTATAGGCAATAATTTCAATTTCGATTTTATTATTTTCTTTTATAGCAATCAATTCCAGAAACATCCAAGGCTGCATCTAGGGATAACACTTTAATTTTACTTGAAAAGTTAAAGTTAAAGTAAAACACTTTAAAACTTTAAACTTTAATTAAAGTGAAACACTTTAAAACTTTAATAAAATCCACATTAAAGTCGATAAGGGATACCCTTACGTCCTCAAGATCTATAGTATAGGGATACCATTAGATCCTCTAGTGCTATACTATAGAAGTACTCTTAAGTTCTCAAGGCCTATACTATAGAGATACCCTTAGGTCCTCAAGTGCTACACTGTAGGAATATCCTTAGCGTCTCTGGTGCTATAATATGGGGATACGCTTAGATCATCAAGGCCTATACTATAAGCTACAGTAAATACCTTGAGAACTTAAGGGTATCTCTATAGTATAGACCTTGAGGATTTAAGGGTACCCTATAGTATAGGTATTGAGGATCTAAGGATACATTTATAGTATAGACTTTGAGGACTTAAGGATTTTCTTATAGTATAGATATTGAGGATGTAAGAGCATCCTTTATCAACTTTAATTTTGGTTTTATTAAAGTTAAAGTTTTAAAGTGTTTTACTTTAATTAAAGTTTAAAGTTATAAAGTGTTGTACTTTAACTTTAAAGTTTAAAGTATTGCTTTAAACTTTAATACTTTTTTAAAGTGTTTTTAAAGTTAAAGTGCCATCCCTAGTTGCATCTACAAATTTCATAGAGGCTATCAAGTGTCTTATAGCACATATGTCGTAAACTACTAAGCGTATACGAAGTGCCCATAAAAAATGAAAGACTCGATTAAATATTCTGTTTTTTTTTTCCTTTAAAATTTTAATATTACTAATATTCATATTTATCTCAATGAGTTTGATAATTTGACAAGAAAAAAAGAACAATCTAGAAGAGATGATAGATGAGATGAAATTGATCACGATCATCCTGTTCGACTATTATTTAAAGTAGAGTTTGGAACAAAGCCTCTAATTTCATACCGTGTTTTGTCAAGTATCATTTTACCATCATCAGTATGATCAGACATAATTATTATTGGACCTAAATAAATAAGAATAATTGAAATTTTGATAAAATTTATTTAATTTATACCATCTTTAATGAGTTGTTGTTGTGCTTCTTCTTCTTCTTCTTCTTCATCATCATTTTCAGTACGTTTCTAGCAATAAAATATATATATGTATATATTGACATAGATTCAATGATAATTTTCTTTACATACTCGTTTAGTACTAGCTTGAAATTTGTTTGAATTTGATGATGACATATCTAAATTTTAATCTCAACAAAATATTATTCTTTTCGTTAAAAAACTTACAAGTTATTGTTTCATTTTGTTTTGTACGACCTATTAAATCTTGTCCAATTTTGTTGGCATAGCTTATTAGATATTGTTGATGTGCTTGTTGAACAAGTGCTTGAATTTGAATTGTTGCAAGCTCCATAATAATTTTTTTATTATGACTAAAAAGAAAATTGATATAACCATCAATGAAAGCTAATAAATTGTTTTCAAAAAAAAAAAGATTCTTTGTAGGAAAATTTTCTTATTTTAGATGTATATTAACAATAGAATTCTGTGTTTTCTCGTGTTCATAACATTTACATTTTATATCGTCTTCGGAAAAAAAATCAAACTTACCGAATAATAAAACTATATCGTTGTGCACCTAATGAATTAACAGAAATATCACAAGCCAATGAATTTTTTATTTTTTCAATATTACAATTCTAGAAAATATATTATAGTAAATATTATTCAATGGCTACATATAAATATTATTCACTTACTCGTTCACCTAATAAATATCGTTCTGTATCAAATATATCAGGAGGAAGACTATTAAATAAGGAACCAAAAACTATTACTTGATGTGAATCAGACTAAAATATTCAAAACACAAATTAAAATATTTATATGTAACAAGAAGAAATAATTACATCATTTATTGGTTCATCATGTGATTCGAAAGTATTGAGATCCTTCAAAATTTGAGAACGTATAACTAAAAAAGAAAATTTTTTTTTTTTAAATTTAATTATTAATAATAACATACAATGAAACTTTTTATTTTCTTTTTCATTTTGTGATTCAATAACCAGTTCCAGCGTTTGTTCATTTGCAGCATTTGCTTGTACATCAATCTCAACTGGTACATAATTGCCTCTACATTGGATTTTAATGTTGGAACGTTCTACTAACTAAAAAAAAGTTTTCGTATATTAATTTATTTTTATTTTTTAGTATTCAAACGTACCTTTTCTAAATATTTTGTTTGTGTAATTCCAACACAAACTTCATGAGAAAACCCATGAAGTGATATATTTGCTTGCCGACAATTTTTACTTGACTTAGAAATAGTAGCCATTTGTACTTACATGTAATGTCGCTTGAACTAACGAGATATATATACATTGTTATATATATATATATAAATCTATAAAAGAGACATTTCAGCCTATTTGAAAGAAAAAAAAAGTGGTACATGTGTAGAACAAGCACACTATCAGTGTGAGATAATCTACATCTACATACACTTTGACGGGATCATAATAATCGGCTGAATTTCAGACCGAGGCTATGTTCACACTACACAAAGTGATTTAACTTAAAGTTGAATTAAGCGATGTGATTGGTGCATTAAGAGTTAAATCATCGAACGAACATAGCCCGAAAATCGAAGTGATCGAAAATAATATGATTGGTCATTCATGTCCTTCAACAATTCATTCATCTATGCATTGACACCAATGATAACCAATCATATTATTTTCGGTCACTTCGGTTGTCGGTCTGAAATTCGGCCGATTATTATTACCTACTTTGACGTACATAAAATTTTTCTTCCATTGCAATCAAATGATTGTGAGCCTCTATCACACACATAACTTCTGAAAAGGTGAAAGAAGGCGTTTCATATTATCATGTATGAAATTAACATCTGCTGCGCTTGTTATACCAGCATTCAAAAAACAAAAATTCGTGCACAAAAATAATGCATAAAGTCCTATAAATGTTGCAACCATTTTATTTGATGAAACCTAAACACAAAAAAAGGTTTTTTGTTTGTTTAAAAAAAAAGAAAAATTAACTAACTTGATCATTTGCTGATTCAATTTTAAGTATTGATTCAACTAATTCATTAATAATATCTTGTATGACTTTTAAAACATCTTTACGTTGTTCACAAACTTTTTTCTTATTATCAATTGATTGTTTATTATTTGTTTGAAGAAATTCTTTAACTAAATTTTCTAACCATGTATAATTTTGTTTTTGTGCATCAACTAATACATCAATTATTGTTTGAACATGTTGTCGAACATCTTGTTGATTACGTATTGGAGAAAACCATAATTGTTGAAATGTTTCACGTATTAATTTTAGTTTACGTATAGATTCTTCATCATGAATACGTCGTAATAAACGTGAACATATATCAGGTATACGATTAAAACTTGGTTAATGTTAAATAAACATCACGAAAAATTTTAACAACACATTTTCGTAGACTTACACCTATTAAATAATTCAAAATTGATTTAAATTATTTTGTTTTACTATTGCACTCTTATAGCGACAGATTTTTAACTGCGATGGATATTCCTAATCTCCCTAATTGTGACTACTATCAAAACAAATTTCGACTCTCTATGATTTTCCTTAATGAAGTTATGAATACTAGTTTTTGCTGGAACAATCAGAAAATTGATCGTAATTTCCGAAGAAAAAAGCCATCGATCGAAATCTTTTTTAGACTTTTTACCTACTCGAAGTCCTCTATTGAAGCAAGACACCTGAGAATATTTTTTCATTAGTATATTGAAAATAATTATGAAGAGTTTGTCTAATTCATATAATTCTTTACCTGTATCAATACTTCTTTCACAAAGAACATCATAATATTGTAAAATAAGTTCTTGTTTTTGTACAATATATCTTCCAATAAGATCAATAGTTGCTTCTCATATACTAATACTTTTATCAGTTAAACCAACTTTAATACATGATTTAATATCATTATGTGCTAAAACAGTTAGATCAACTTCAACAACTGTACATAAATATTTCATTACTTTACTATGAATATTTGTTCCAGCTTCGGATTGAAATATAGCTGCTAATTGTTTAAGATAAATATTAAATATTTTTAAAAATGGTCGATTTGATGTTAAATAACGCATTAATAAACAAATATCACCATATTCAATATCTAATGTATATTGTTGTTATTTACGTGCTATTTCAGATATTGAAAACATTTTAAGTATAGAAATTTTTTTTTTTTTCATTTTTTGTTTCATTTCAATTTTATCTTCAATAGATATTGAGGGTTTTGTTTTGAATTATTATTATTATTATTTATTAATTCATCAACATCATCATCAACTAATTCTATTTGACCAGATTTTATTCGTCTTGTTAAAGTTTAAGTTAAACATTTGACTGTTAAATTTATATCACAAATCCATTGACCAATATGAAACATTTTTGCATACTAAAATTTTATAAAATAAATTTCAAAAGACTAGAAATGTATTGTAATTAAAACTTTAACATTATGTTTTAAAACAATATCAATTATTTAAATTTGATTACTTATTAATTAACAAAAAATGAAATCTTTTCTATAAAATAAAATTTATAACACCTACAATATTCATAACCTCATTATTAAAAGATGAATTTAGACTATTGATATATTTCAACAAGCTTGTACCTTAACGGGAAAGTACATTAATTCTTTAAAAAATTATGTTAAGTGTCTAATAATTGAAACTTACATGACTTGTTGTTTGATCACTTAAACTTAATTCGTTAAGATAAATAACTAAACTATGATGATAACGTAATAGATCAGTTTTATAAACTTCCATAACATCTTCATCTAATTCAATATTTGCTAAAGTCTATTTATTTAAATAGAAAAATTAATAAATATTTTTATTTTTATATAATTATAAAAAATTTTTTTTACTTTATGAACAATTTGATCAAGTTTATCTTGATTTTCTTTTGAATTTAAAACATCATTATCAATTGTATCTTTTCTTAATTGTTCTGTAACTGAACTTAAATAATCTAATGATTGTAAACGTGTATTGATTGGTAATGAATGATTAGAAAAATTTGTCATTAATATACGTGATAATAATGTTAAAAGAATTTCTGATGCTGATCATTCAGGTCGATTAGCCATTATAAGTAAATCAGCTAAAAAAAATTTCAAATACAATACATGAAAAACGGCTAACGGTCAACCAACATGGTTAAAGTAGAAGTTAAAAATCAGCAAAAGTAATTAGTACTAAGTTGTAGAGTATACTTTTCCGCATAAGATACTGCATTTTGTTATGTAAGTCGGTGGTTTTTAAAAAGAAAAAACATGGACGAAATAAAATTCTGGATTACTACAATATTACATGATTGATCAGAGCACAAGAAAAAAGTATAGAACTCAAGAAGGAAAGTATTGATCATCAAGTATCTTATACCATTTTGAAGCCAAGAATTTGGATTTTCTTCTCATCTATTTAGAAGTTTCACAGATTGTTATTGTTATGAGAAAAGTCCTTCGAAAAAGTAAGAAAAATGGATATCTGTGCGTTACCAAAAATCGAATTTAGTTTATTTTTTGGCTCAATTAAAGTCATTTACTTTGAAACTCTTATTGATCTTCCACTAACTTTTGATGGGTTACCTAATATACATATCAGTTTTTGATACAAATGCTCTAGTGCCGAGAAACTTGCTAATCCACAGACGTGACTTTCGGGTACCTTATATTACCGCATTAATAGGCCTACTGAAAGTTGTTGGTTTCAACTAAAATTTGAAGTTAAAGACACTCCTACTTGGTTTTTGTTGATGACTACTTAGTTTCGAATAAAACATGAGATAAAAGCACAAAAGTTTTTAAGAGGACTTCTGGAAATCTTCGCAGGAATCATGCTTCGTTAATTCTAGATTATTTCGGCATATAGTAAATTTATTTCGTATTCGGTGAATATAAAACATTTGCTTGATATGAAGTTCACTGCAGCTCAATAACAGAAGTGTTACCGAAAAAATTTGAAGAAGAAAGGTCATCTTAATACTGATAAAGGAGAGTCTTGAATTAATGTATCGCTTTTAACTTAAAATATACTTGAGTATAGGTAGTTTCTTATGTTGATTCCGAATTCGATATTCATTTGTACTCTAAGATGTTTTTAATACGAGTCTCTAGACATCTAGTGTCTGAAGATCTCTCATAAAATATGAGATATAGAGAGACTCTGATCTATCGAGATTGTAGAGTATGTTAAGTTTCCTATAGAAAAAAAAATTGCTGGCTTATCAAATACGTTTTCCTGAAGTACGAAAATTTTACTAATGATTTTAGAAAAAATTGCATCAGCTCTGATATTTTGACTCGTAAAATCTTCATACCTCAGCAGAAATGTATTTGTGAAGTCGGAAATCTTTTTATATAGATAACTTGACATACGCTACAATCTCGATAGGTCAGAGTCTCTCTATATCTCATATTCTATGAGAGTCCTTCAGACATCGGATATTTAGAGAGCTATATTAGAAATATCTTAGAGCACAAATGAATATCAAATTCAGAATCAACATAAGACATTACCTATAGTTATGTATGTCCCAAGTTAAAAGCGATGGATCAATTGGAGTCTCTAGTGAAAAAAAGCAGAATCCTTTACAGATATGATCATCAAAAAAAAATTTACATAAAACAATAGTGACTGCTCGAAATATAAATGAATATCATAAATTTGATGTTCTAAGATGATATTTTCAAATACGAAAAAAAAAAAATTTTAGATTTGGGAATTTTTTGTAGAAATTCATGTCTGTGCATTACTTAATGTTTTGTCAATAGCTCGCTCATTTTTCAAAATGTTAATGTCTTCGTTTTTCCCAAGGATAGTCCGAACTCTGAGCTACAAAACGTTCTCTCACGCAATTCATTAACATGGAGCAGTTCGCAGGATTTATCACTTCTTTTGCTAGTACTGCAAGAGGAGGGCCTTTTTTTTGTCTGTGCGTTACTGTCCATTGTTTCTTGTGTAAAACTCGATTGCACAAAGATAGAAACTTGAAATATTTAAGGCAAGTAGAACTTCGCCAAATATATATTTACTAAAAGTTTCATCGCTCTAGCTCCATTAGTTGTCGAGATATACGCTTCTGAATTTGAAAAAATGTCTATGCGTTACCTGCATTTTTCATGAATACGATAATCATCTTCACCTTGTTTTGTTCCACATGAATGAAAAAATAATATTAAAAATTTAAATACTAAATTTTGTGCTGTTGTATATGTATTTAATAAATTTAATTCATTTGTTGTATCAATTATATTTAAATTTATTATTGTACCTAATAATACAGATGCATGAATTAAATTCATAATTAATGATGTAAACATTTGTATTGATTCACCAGATAGTAAACGATAATAACGAAGACTTTTTTTAATTGTTGGTAAACGTAATAGAGATAAAAGAATATCTTCAAGTATTGAATCAGGATGATGTTCATAGCGAGAAAATAATTCTGTTAGAATACGTAATGAATGTGCTTGAATATCAACAATATTTTCAACATAAATACAACTAACGGTGAATGAAGAAATCTTAAAAAAAAACAAAAATAATAAGTTTTGGGTTTAGAATTCATTAAAGTAGAACATTCCAGGAGATTATCCAATGTGAGGCATCGAGGAAGCGACGTCCTGCTGAAGATTGTATTAGCTCTTTTGGGAAGAAAAACCTGGACAAAAACACTATCTCACATAATCTCGATTAGAAAAAATTTGAAGAAACAAGCAAATGTTATATTTTTATTCGAATATGAATATCGTAAGAAATATTTTCTGAGACGAAGCAGAAATATTTACACAAAAACAAAAAACCTATATTTCATTGTAATTTTGTTCACTGTTAAAAATATTTAACAAGTAACGCGACGCAAACGTCGCTGATCCTCTACTGAAAGGATGTGATATCGATGGGCATATTCCAGAGATGTCCATCGCGGCTCAAAATCTGCCGCTGCCGTACCGCGGCCAAAATCAAACAAAGCTGCCGCGCCGCTCCCGCGACGCGATGGCCTGTTAAAAAAAGCTACCGCGCCGCTGCCGCGACGCGCCTTAAAAAAAACTTTCCGCTACCGCGCCGCTGCCGCGCTGGTATTCGAAAAAATGTTTTGATTTTCAAGGCTTTGACTGGTTTGAAATAGAACTGATGCCGCTAATCGATCAGATTCGCTAAGTCTTACAGTATAGCATACATAAACATGCAGATTCTGTGCAAATTCATGAATTTTTGAAATTTTTTTCCTAAAAAGCTGCCGCCGCCGCGCCGCTGCCGCGACGGCAAAATAAAAATCTCTCCCGCGCCGCTGCCGCGCCGCGATAGTTTTTGGAAAAAATCTGCCGCTGCCACGCCGCCACCGCCACGGCGGCAGCGCCGCGATGGACATCTCTGGCATATTCTTTTGGAACAAAAATGAAAAATTTCAAGAAAGTAATCACGGATTCGAATTTCTCGGGCTCGATTACCTTTGGTCAAACTTTATGGGGTATTATTTTCTGATACCCCACGTCGTCATTGGAGGCATCAGTGAACGAACGCACGCACACAATTACGAACGAACGAACGAACGTAGTTAACTCATTCGGCGTATGACTCTCCTTTGAGTAGAGGAGACAGGCATGTAATCTTAGCTTCTATACACTTCTTCTTCATTTGTAATGAAGAATCCCTACTAATCTATGATCTGATATTTACTTATTAACCATGGGCGGCGCAAGATCAGTTTTGTAGGGATAGCAATCAACTGTTAAATGAGCTCTGCTTTTTTTCCCTTGTTCAGTCCAATGCAAAAATTTGTTTCATGAGAATTGAACTTCTCGAATGCACTGCATGTAAAGCTCGAGCATTAACTCCTCTAGTAGTGCATTAAACCTCCTTTAATTAGTTTACGTACTTTTAATTGATTACTTTTACTTGTTTAATTTTAGGCTTCAATCACTATTAGATGCTCACAAATGCTTGTTATAATAGGAAAAAATAAGTTCTTATTCGAGAATGATGTATAATTATTTTGTTCATTTTCAAAAAATTTTTTCCTTTTATCATTTTTCGATAGAAAAGCAGTTCCAATAGTATCAATATCAATTTCATAATCTCGTTCACATGGGTATCCCATAATAAATGGTCAGTTTTTGTATTTTAGATTTTAATCTTAGAAGTTTTTTATTAAAAACTGAGTATACTATTAGATGCAGCGTGAAAAGCTCTACAATTCACAAAGCAAAATGGATTTTGGTTGTTTAATTTTGATTCTGAAAAAGACTAAATTCCATACGACCCCTTTTCGAAGGTGTGAAAAAAACCATTTCTTCGCTCTTATTTTATCTGTGTATCTCGTAATATGCTTTCTTTAAAAAAGTTTAATACACCAGAAGGTGCAGCGTGAAAAGATCTACAATCAACGCATATTTTTGTTGTGTAATTTTTGTTTTCAAAAAAAAAGAAAAATTCCATGAGAATAATTCTCATTGTACCTAAAGAAAACATTTTTCTATTCCAATGAGCAAATCATTTTTCTTATTTCGTCTTTTTATCACCTAATTGGTTTTATCGCATATATCTCAAAATGCAGCGTAAAAAGTTCTACAGTGTACAAAGTAAAGGTTTTTTAATGGTATACTTTGTATTTTGAAGAGAAACAAAATTCTATGAGACCGTTTTGCATAACGTCGAAAATTGATTGCGCAGAATTCCATTTATTTTGAAAATATCAAATACACAATTAAAATAAGCTTTTCTTTGTAGCTACACAAATTTTTACGCTGCATCTAGTGCTATTTTCTGTGCTTTTTTAAAATGTATGTAAAGAGTAAAATATAAAATAGAAGAATTGGCCATTTACTATCGAACACCCGATATATATATAGCAGGAAACCGATACATTATGGTAGCAATAAACAATTCCTGAGACTAAAATTTAATCTTCATAAATAACATACAGAATCACATCGAATATATGTATGTTGAATAAAGTAGTTTTATTCTAGAATATACAAGAAGCGTGAAAAATTTGAGGAAGCGATAAGTTCTTATCGATTCCAATAATTTATTTTAGGGGTTGCAATTGCTAACTATTGCATTGCTGGCGCGCCGCCTATGTTATTAACAGTAATGCACTACTCAAATCTATTACATTATATCAAGTTCTATTGCATATGATTGAAATATCAATAGATGGCGTCACTTTCGTAGCAATCATCATTTCAGTATATGTTGAATATAGAAAAACAAAAGAACAAACTTACAGCTAGAATAATGGTATCAGTATATTTCCCTAACGGCATTAAATCTGTAATTCCTTGAAAAATTGAAACAATTTTATTATAAAGTATTTGAACTTGTTTGCATTTTTTTCCTGTAACTTTCGAACGTTTTTGTTTTGTTTATAAAGGATCTTAATAAAAAAAAAATATTATTAAAATTTTTTTTTTCTTATATACATGCCTTTTGAATGATTATCATTTCTATATAATGGATCATATTCAGGAAATATTGTTTTAGCTAATTGTATTTTTATAATTAAAGATGTATTTTCAATAACATGTTCAATAAGAATTTCTTTTGGTATATTATCTGTTGTCATTATATTTAAACTTATTTCACATGCATTTGCACACACATTGTTAAACATTTAAATACTAAATCTCTCCATATACTTTCTTTATCTTCATTTATTTGTTCATCATTAATATCATGTTTAAGTATTGAACTTATTTCAATATCTTGTGTTATACGTAATGATAAAATTTCTAATAAACAACGTTTTAATTTCATACGATCAATACGTGACATATATGTTGAAAGTTTTAATTTTTCAGATAATATTGCCATTTCATCTAATGTATGTTCAGATAATAATAAATCAAGATAATGATCATCAGGTGTTTGTTCAAACTGTTCATGATGACATTCATAATCATCATTAAATATATCTAATAATTGTATAAAACGTTGATATGATGTATTTTCTTGTGGATCAGCATCAATATATAATGGTTTACGTGCTAAACGATCACGTGTTTTTTTATTTAATGCACTCATTACATCAATTGAATTATGATTAAGTATATTATCATTTGTACGACGTATACGTTTTTTTTTTAATGGTTGATGTTCTTCATCATTATCATTATCATTTATATCATCATCATCATCTTCTGTTGATAAACTTCGAATACGTTTTTACTTTGGTGAATTATTTAAAGATATTGTATTACTACTATTTGCTGCTGAATAACGTTGTTGAAGTAAACGTTCACTAGTATCATTATCAAAAGAATAACCATCTTGTAATAATTCTTTTATTAAATTAGGTGTAAAATCAGCTGGTAAATGATTTAATTGTTGAGGAATGTTTGATTTAGTTGAACGTTATTTTGAAGAAGATGCAGTGTTTATTGATACTAAATAAAATAATTATCATTAATAATCTATAGATCTTATATTTTGAAATTTCGAATCTAATGAAGGTTTAACTTTCAAGCAAAAAAAAAAATACTCTGCACACATCCTAAGATCTTATTATATAACAAAGAAATGATGATAAATTTGTATATTCTCAGAGTTTGAATGATTTTTCTTTCTTATATTAAATATGAATTATACTAAAATAAATCATTAATATAAATAAAAAAGCTGTTAACACAATTCCTATGGAATTAAAATGTAAAACACGATGTATGTGTTGTTGTTAATCACAGATAGATTGTTTGATTTTATCTATCCTTGAGACACATTTCTTTATCATCCTTTAGAAATGCTATAAGGAAATTATTCATATACGATCAACATTTGTGAAAAGTCAAAATTTGTTTGTTTTTTTTTTTGTATCGTGTTTCACAAAAAAAGATTATATTTATGAATAAAGTAAATAACAGTATTAAAAAACTATAATTATCGAGATTATCAACTGTAATATATGTATACCTGGATCTTCAAGTTGTAATTTATGAAGATTAATTCGTATTTTTTCTATTTGTTGATATGGTTCTTGTTGAACAATTATACCTAGTTAAAAAAAAACTAAAACTTTTATTTATAAATATATTCATAGTTTACTTGGTTTTTTTTGTCATATCTTCATTTGCATTATTATTATTTGTTATTGATTGTGAATTTTTATTTGTAAGGTCATGTGATTGCAACGTATCGATCTGTATAAAAGAAATAGAAAAAATATTTTACATGTTTTTCCGTTTCTAACGGTTTGTACAATGTGATATTCAAAAATAGAGGAATGAGAAAAAATAAATGTCGAAACTTCGGATTTAAATCCGAGAGTTATGTGTACTTAAAAAAGTGAATGAGCCAGATGAGTCATTTTAGAATATGTGGACATAAAAATTATCCTGGTAAACCTTGCCTATAAACACTTGACTTCTATTGGCTACTGCTCAACCAATAGGATTTGGGGGTACTTCTTCAGAATAGTCACACCCTATCATATAAGAGAGGAAAGGAAAAAAAAGTGATTGGTGATAACGATGCATCTATCACAATTATTCCCATATAGATGACGTTCTAATGTGAGAGTGTGATCATTCAAAGAAAAAAAAAGAAGTCGCGGTAAAGATAAAATTCAAACATTTATTTAAAAAAAAACTACAGGACAGGATATAAATCACGTATACATCTGATTAAGTTCTCTAATGGTCGATCACCGAACTTCCGACGCCACATAAACTCAGCTAAGTGTGTGGGCAGCAATGTATTGTATTGACCCATTTGTTGTTTCTTTCTCCTTTTTGTACACATCCACACATAGGCGGTGGAACGATTTTAATCTAGGGGAGGCTCAAAATTTTTCCTCAGGCAATCATGAGAGGCAAGATAAAAAACGATCCAATTTCTATTTGAGTAATCTCCACTCTATTGAAAACTTATACCTGTGCTCCTTCATGTCAAGGCTTGAAACGTAATGGAAAATTTTACTGCTCTGTTAAATTTTCTAATTAATGGCAAGCACATACATAAAAAGCTTAAATATAATCTAAA